GCATGTGTGCGTGAATGAGAGAGAGAGAGAGCAGGAAAGAAAGGAAGAGTAGAGAAGAAAGCAGTGGTATAGCATAGCTGGGGGGAGGATATCTGACCTCGGGTGACACAGTTTTTGTGTGGCATTATTAGCCAAAGGGAAAATTATATGATAATACTTTATAGTTCTTTTGAACTATATCTGATGTTAAGCTAAGGTTTCCTATGTGCGTCTGAACACAGCCGTGTCTCTAGCTGCAGAACAGCTTTCGCTCAGATTGTACTGAGTGGTTTCCGTATGAGCCCTGAGCAGCAGGAACTCTACACCACTGCACTAGAAGGAAGAGACTTTTAAGAAATTCCATCCATAAAAGACAAGCATTCTGGTGCACACTTGTAATCCCAGCACTTGGGACTTTGAGGTAGGCAGATCGCTGCCAGTCTGAGACCAGCATGAACTACATAGTGAATTGAAGGCTGGCCTGAATGATATAGCAAGACTGTCTCAGAAAAGCAGAAGAAAGGGTCAATCGGACAGCAGACTAAAGTGCCTGCTCAGGCAAGTTTAGGCAAGTGCAGGACAGGACCGCGGTTGGATCCCTAGCACCACACGCCCCACTGCCAAGGTGGGCTGAGCTGGCCACAGAGTCTGGTCGGTTGTGGTGGCGTATGCACATAATCCTAGCACTGCAGAGGCTGAAAACAGGAGAATCACTATGAGTTCGAGTTGCATAGTGAAACCCTGTAACAACCAAAAAATATAAAAACCAGATGAAAAAAAAATCGAAGATTAAAACAAACAAAACAAAGCAAAAAGAATTTCCTTCTACAAAGTTGGGAGCTCAGAAGCAAACAACCTAAAAGCCCCTGGCCAATATTTCATTGTATCCCCTCATATCTGTGGCCAGAGGTAGGATTATGCTGACTACAGTAGGCGTGAAGCTGGGTGTAGTGGCACATGCCTGCAATCCCAGGACTCTGGGAGGCTGAGCAGAAGGATTACAAATTTGAGCCCAGCCTGGGCCGCTTGGAAACTTAGTGAGACGCTCCCTCAAAATAAAATAGCTGGAGGTGTAGCTCAGACTGAAGACCCTGGATTTGACCCCTGTATTGGAAAAATAAAAAAAAGCATCTAAATGACAGAAGCTTTCTCTGGCAGTTGCTTCCTGACCGTTGGGGCAAGCTGTTTTCCCAGCTCTGGAGAGTGGGCCGTGTACCGCGAGAACTGCAGGAGTGGTGGATGCTTGTGTCTGACTTGAACCACTATATGTGGCTGTCCGGATGTGAACTTTGCTGGCCCTGGCAGAGGGGACCCTGGACAGACTTGACTCACACTGGACCCCGTCAGAGTCTGCCGGCTGAGATTTTGGGCATGGGATTCAAGTAGTTTTTTGTCCTTAGCATCTCCCCATGGGTGTATCTGTCTACTGTGTGTGAAGTACAAGAAAGCAGTCTGTGAAGGGATGGGGAACTAAAATGGAAGCTGCCTTGCTTGCTTTCCTTGTGCTGAGATAAAATAGGTGACACCTAAAACTTAAAGGAAGACAGGTTTATTTGGACTCACAGTTTTTGAAAGCCTTACTACATAGTCAGCTGGCTGCAAGGCAGGAAGGGCATGCCGGAAGGGTCTGGCTGAGGAGAGCTACCCAGACGCCTGCCTGAAGCAGAGAGGGAAGGGAGGAGCTAGGCAGGGAGTGGCGCCTTCCAGGTCACGGCCCCAGGACCTGCCTCTTCGGAGCGACCCGTCCCTAACCCCTAATGGCACCTGTATCTGTGGATTCTTCAGTGGATTAATCCACTGATGAATATTTTGCCGCCCATGATGCAGTCACCTTCCACGATCCAACCTCTGAGCACATAAACCTTTTGAGGGACAGTCAGGAGCCGGACTATTAGAGAAATCCAGCGGGAAAATGAAAGAGAGAGATGGATAGGGATAGAGATAGAGGTAGAGGGCTGGGGAGATGGCTCAGTAGAATAAGCGCTTCCCTGACAAGCACAAGGGTCTGAGTTCAATCCCCAGTTCTGGGAAAAAAAAAAAAAAGATGGAGATGGGAATGGAGCTGGGGATAGGGATAGAAAAGGATTAGAAGTGGGGAAAGAGAAGATAGATGAGATTGGCTCTGCAAGAAGGAGACCATTTTGATTTTACACAGCCTTTCAGCTCTGCTTCCTGTCCTTAGACCCGGCGACCCAGGTCTTGCTTGGAGGCTGAACTTCCAATAACATCCCTTTTGCTTAGGTCAGCATACACAAATTTTATTCTTGCAGCCAAAGATCCTGACATAAAAATTCAGGCACTAACAGTAAGGGCTTGATCACAGGCTGTGGTGCAGGACTTTATGAGAAATTTGTCCCCCAGCCTCTATACCTGGCTGGAGGAACATATGGCATAGGTACTTTTATTCTTTGATCCCCCTGTAAGGCGTCGTGGGGGGGATGTGCATCCCTAGCCTCAATATCTGTTATAAGATATCAGAGAAAAGGTGAAATCATCCCAAATTTAAATATAGAGCATCTTTAGAAATGTCATCTTAGCCTCTTTCTGCTGTAGGAGGTTGTTTGGGAAAATATAGTTCTGGCTCACTTTTTGCTGGAAGGCACCATCAAAGATGCAGCCTTCCTTTCCTCCCTTCCCTCCCTTCTTTCTTCATCGCCTGCCTTGTGGCAGGTATATTCCAGATGCTAAGAATATAATAATGAGTAAAGAAAAGATTTCAGGGGCCGGGGAGATGGCTCAGTGGAATAAGCACTTCCCTGGCAAGTGCAAGGGCCTGAGTTCAATCCCTGGTTCC